GAGAAAAAATTTAAGAACTCAGAGAAGAAAGAGAGCTGGCTTTAATTTAAAGAATTTTCCAAAATATTATCTAATTTTTATACATTTTCATTACATTTATTTAAAAGTGGGATTCCCTTGAGGGTAATACTATCTTAAATGTTATTTTTCTAATCTCACCATTCAACTATAAATTCTCAAATAAGTGGTTCAAAATTTGTGACTAATAGGCCATACTTGAGAGTTGTATTTTTTAGGCAATCATTAAAAAAATGTTAAAATAGTGTATCCTTAATATTTTATTCAGGTACATTTTCTTAGAGCTCTGAAAAGTGTAAAATCACTTTCTAAACATTGCCACTGAGCTAACTTGTATTCCAAAGTTGTATTCATTTTTCCTCATTAGTGCCATATAATTTCAAACAAAACCAATTGAGAGTGATTATGTGCCTTACACAAACTGTGACACAGTAAGTAGGTCCTCAAAAATAATATCAAGTAAAAGCATATTTGGTACATTTGCTCTTTTTGAAATAGAAAAGGCATATTTAGTTAACTTATTAGATGTGTTATCATTAGAAAGTAGAATAATTTTCTGGTATATTTCTGAAAAGGTTATAGTTGGGGTGTGCATTCTTTATTGGGATGAAAACTTTTCTGCACAATAGATTCACAAGAAAAAAACAGATAACTAGTCTGTTAGATTGAGGTAAGGTATGAATATTCTTTTGTTGTTGAAGTCTGTTTGGGTTTTTTTTTTTTTTTTTTTCAATGACAGTGCAATTTCTATATTATTTTGTATTGGTTCCAGGTTTACAGCTGAGTGATTCATTGGTATAAATACTTTAAAAATTGCATATCCATGTTTCAGCATAATTTCAGCAAAATATGTTTACTTTTTTTGTGATTCTATACAGTGATATTTAACTAACAGAGTGTAATTCATAGATGTAATTCAAAAGTTAAAAAGACTGATTCCTTGTTTTGTCTTTCACAGGCTATGAAAACCAAGAAGACATTTGTGGTTGCAGTTGATGTTTTGACTAAATGTTCCCTCTACTTATGTAATACTCCTCTGCTCATATAACCATAAAATAAGGCTTCCATGGGGCTTTTTTCCCCCCAAGGTCAGCAAAATACATTACTAACTTGCTTAGGTCAGAGAAATAATTCAAACTGGCATCATTAAAAAGCCTGATATTATGCAAAACTAAATAATTTGTTTTACTAATTAAAAAAAAATCTAATTGGATATTTGGACATAGTTTATGTCTTTGACAATAATAGAATTAAAATAGTACATCAAAAGAGTTGTACAAATGGTTTGAGATTAGATATCCGGTACCATGTAACATTAATTTCTACTCTCGTAATTTATTTGCAATCACATTTCTTGGTTTTATTTACATAAAATAGATCTTGTGGAGAAATTTGAATCTCTAGAGAACATGGAGTATCCTGGTACCTGACCACAGAGGAAGCTATGCTCTTTCCAATAATTGGGCCAACCAGGCTGATATGAGTATTACAGTGAGAGGAAGTAGAATGATGACTTGCATGCCATTTCAATTACTGGAAAAAGCAAGTGGGTTGGTCTATCCACAGGCACGATATTTTTCGGAAATCCACTAAAAGGAAACAGGTCTTCCTGAAACGGGTGGGAAGGCCTCACGCTCTGGGCACTGTAATTAAGGTCTGTTTGTGTTCATTGGGCCTCGGCTCTCTCAAGGATCCGTGTGGTTTCACATATTAAACCCTACTGTGACTGCCCTTTCACCCTGGCTCAAGTACAGTCACTCACAGAATGACTCTGACAAAGCTTCCGAAGCATGCTCCACCCCAGGGAAGTGGAACAAAGGATACAGAGAAGATCCACATTTAGCGAGTATTTACCACATGCCGATGCTTACTTAGTACTTTTTACAGATTATCATGTGGTCATTTCCACCCCCCCCCACAACTGTAAGAGATAGGTAGTAGTATAATCCCATTAGAAATAAGATACAAAGTAATGTGAAAGTATTTTACTCTAAAGACTATGGTCTTTCCTCCATAATATACAGCATTCCAATATTAATTGAAGATATAAACAATACTGAAAACAGTGTCCATCAAGTAGAAAAATAAATGTAGGCTAGCCATTCATCTGCTCTAATGGATGGCTAATATGTACAAGAACTAGGTAGTAGTATTTAAATACAAAATGTTAAGAAATCATTACTATAACAATAACATAAATTTATTTGTATCCTTACTACGAATAGGTAAGTGACATATTTATCTAATTCTCACATTGTTAGTAAGCCAAAATTGGAACTGCTATTTAGTTAATTTATAAAGCACAAGTAAAACATTTTGAATGTGGGCACATCATGGCAAACACATACCAGTACCTTTCCTGAAATCAAAAGCAGTGACGACATCTATCAGCCTTAAAGGAGGAGCTAGTGTCAATGAAAAAAATCTTGTTTAGAAAAAGCAGTATTTGTTGCCTCACCTAAATGTATTACTCATTCCTAATATTTCCTGTTAAAATGAATTTAAATGATCATTGATATTATTATAAAATATAAGTTTTAGTATGTAATTATGAAAATGGTGAAGTTCCATTACAATCAAGATATTTCAGGTTCTAACTCTAGACAACTGGTTTTTTTTTATTTTGATAGAGAATAATATTAAAAAATCATTAAAATAGGACAACTGATTCTTCAAAAAATAAATGGTTGGGATTAATTTGAGAAAAGTAAAGAAAGTCCTGGGTCAAATTAATTTTAATAGATCTTTCATAAAGTACCTTGCAAGGTAATAGATTACTTCTGATAACACAAATGATTACGCAGTCTATGCTTATATCTCAAAAATCAGTTATTCTATGCATGAATGTATAAACATGACGTTTCTAACTTTATTCTGAAATGGTACATAATTTCCTGAGGCTTGAGATTCACACAGTCCCTCATTTCTATCTCAAACGTGTCTACATCCCCATCTTGCAGCAGCTCTGGTTTCTGCACCCTGTCAAATGCAACCTTTGTGCTAATTGGGTAAAATCCGTTCTCACGTTTAGTGCTGAGAGACTGATAACTGAATTCTCAGATGAACTGCACATTTGCAGAGATGAAGTACAGAGCTGCGGACAATGACTGTTTTTCCCACAGTGTAAATTCTTCAGACTCAGCTGTCAACGTGTGAGTGTGTGCAGCACAAAGGCGGCTTTAACTTGATGACTTTTTTTCCTCCAAGGCCATAAAAATGAAATGGATACTGTACTCGCCTTCATGTTATTCCATCTTCTAATGAGATGTTCTTTCTCGGGGACAGTGAAAGCCTGTATGCTTTTTAGAGCTCTTAGTAGATCAAAGTCTCCTTCTTGCAGAATAAAAACAAACATGATCCCTCCTAAATAAATATTTCAGTTTGAGAAGAGACCAGATAGCAACAGTGGATATTCCAAAAGTGTCCTCTGGGGCTTTGGAGGTAAGCTCGTTTATAGTTTTACTCCCATAGTCTTATCGTGGTCTTGGTATCTTTTCTCTTTCTTGGTGAGACACAATTTCTCTGCTGGTCACCCAGCTACCACACTTTTACCACAGGGGAAGGGATTTGATTATATGTCAAATCTCCTTTGATTACCACAGTGTTTCTACCTATTTCAATGATCTTAAGCATCATCAACATTAAAGAGAAACACCATGGGAAAGTGATGTCAAACTTATTTGAAACTTGGGAGAGCAGGAAAAAGGGAACCTAAAACAAGTGACTTTTAAAGAGAAAAGACTGGTGAACAGTGACACGTACTGCATGAGAGGCTTTTCTAAACAGAGATTGAGGAAGAGCTATGGGAAGTCATCAGTGACCATTGGAGGAGCAGTTCCATGGGATCAAAGTCAGGTTGAAAGTGGATAAAGGGGAGAAGAAGTTGAGAAAACAAGGTTCTAACGAGGCTATGCACTTAAATAAATATACAGGGACTTCAGGGCATGCCACGAGGAAAGGAGGTGTGTGAATAGATGAGCAAATTTTCAGGTCAGAGGAAGAGCTTAGTGGTACGGAAGAGATCAAGACAGCAAAAGTAATGTAGATTGGGGAAACTTACATGAGCTCATCAATGCAATTAGGAACAAAGGCAGAAAAGTGAAATAGGGAAGGTAAGAGGCACACTAATACATTATAAATAATGGATGAATGGATGGTCAGAAGTGTTGCAGGAGGGAAAACGCTGATTGAGCTTACTGTTATGTGTTATGTTTTGAATGATCGCTTTAAAGTAAGTATCAGAACAAGGATTATAACAGACAACTCATTGTCTCTTGACATTTCCGTGATGCTCAGAGGTCATATTGTCATGTTTTTTCTAACAAGTCAATGAAGGATGGAGTGATTTAATGAATTTTGGGAGTTGCCCAGAAGAAAAAGCAACAAAAAATAAGTGTGGTAGAAGTTCAAATAATGAAATATTCAAGCATCTTACTGAAAACAGATGGACTATAAAATGGGACACAGGATTCTAGAAGGATTAAAGGAGAATAAAATACATACACGATATAAAAGCCCTTTAACATTTTGAAAATACTTTCAATGTGAGGTGGTCATTAAGACAATTTTTTTTAAGTGTTACGTAACTTATATGATGTTCTCAGGGCAACATGGACGTGTGGAGGAAAAACACACTGCAGCATGAGATTTGAGATTAGATGTGGTGTTCCTGTAAAACAGGATTGGTAAGTCATCTTATCATTTTCCATTCCTCCCTTCCGTAGGCCCAGCCCAGATCTATTTCTTTCCATAGTTAACTACTGAGAAGTTTCACTTTAGGCACAAAGCAAATATTTTCCTGAATCCTTAATCTCTCTTCTCTTTCCCAGCTTTCTCACACCCACAGCCATGAAGTCACTACCATGTGTTTAACTGGATATTCAATCTCAAGTAATATAGTTTGAGCTATACAAAGAAAGTTTCCCAGTTACTTACTACAGTTACACCTGTTACGTGTCTATGTTCTTACAAGCACCACCTACCATTGAGCCACCTGGAATCATGCTGCTCTGTCCTGATTGGGTGGTGGTGCCCAAGAGTTCGGAAGATAGCAAAGTCTCGGCCCATAAAATCAGCTGCCGTTCCGGAGTATAACTCTCCATCTGTGTTGTGACAAAATAAAACCACATACACAAACTTTAATTCAATTAAGGTCAGAGAAATAAAGCAAACAAACAAAGTGCAAAGTTCAGTGTTAAGACCATGCTAAAAAGAAAACAGAAATGCTCTCTACACCATTATGCAAAGCTACTTATTTTTTAATCCTATGTCTTCATTACAGTGAGTAGTTTATTAAATCATCATTTAATAATTTAGTACTTGACTACCCATTTAGTACTAACTTAGAAAATTTGAATAAAATATGACTCAGTGGATATCAATAAAACATGAAATATTATTCTTTTCCACTATAACCAGAGACAAACTTACAGAGTGTACTCATTGTTTGCTTTTGTATGTGTAAAGATACTATGATTCTAATAATCTTCTTTATGAAGATAAGGAATCATTGCAAAATCTTGCTTATAGTTCTTATTTTATGAAAATGAAATTTCTAATATATTAATTTAAAAATATTTTATAGTTTATTATAATTCAGAAAGTTCTAATATTTTCTTTGCCAAAATTTTTCCTTGCTTTTTGTATTTTAAGATAGCAACTTGGAGAAGTGTTTAGATTTAATAGAAGCTAGCATACAGACAAAAAGAAAAAAAAGTCCACCACATAAGCTCAGATATAACAGATGTGTTTAGAGAGGAGGAAATTTTGACAAACAGCTCCTATTTATAACAGTTCAAATTCTCTTGTTCTTTGATTCGTTCCAGCTTAAACTAAATTTACTCTAGGTCAGAGTTTAATGATGGAAGACTCTTAATCAGAAGGTAAAGAATAGATGGGAAAAGAAAAAAGGGAGGAGAAGGAGAAGTTAATATTTACTGAATACCACTCTGTGCTGGCCCAGCAGTCAGGCCCTGGCTGGACACTTTCAAATTATCTCACTTAGTTCTGTCAACAACCCCATGACGTAAGGGTATCCGTATTTTACAGGTCAAGAAACTCAAGGTTGCTCAGCTAATGACTAGGCAAGTCAAGGTGAAAGTTCAAACACAGGCCCGTTGGTAATTATTATGGTTTCCTTCCTTTAAACAGAAAGTGCCACATATTAGTTCATCCAGAAAACGCCTGTCTACTTACAGTGAATAATAAGCACGGCAAAATAACAAAAAAATTATAAATTGTTCTCCAAATAGTCTACCATAATGACAATAAAAAAATATATTACCTTGTTGCTCATTTAGATATGTTAATTTTTTTATTCATTGATTCTTGTGACTTGTTCTCACTATAACATGGTGCAGTAATATTTAATCTTACAATAAGGCAAAGAAAAAATACTTTTAACCAAAGTTACCACAATAAATATAATGTAAGAAAAATAAATAATCCTGTTCTAAAAGCACAAAAATGCTTTGAATAAGCTAACTATAAGTTTCAAAGCTACTTTGAAATGTTTAAATGTCTATTGTTGCCCTAATTTTAATGTATATACAGTCACTGTAATTAATTATTTTTCTCCATGGGACATTTGTGTCCTCCCCAAGGTACTGTTTTATTAAAGTTGATGTTGTATCATATTACAAGTATTGATATATAGATATTATATAATTTAAACTTCAGGGGATTATGTTTGTTGTTCTTTGTGAATAACAGGGTGTAAGTGTAAAATGTGTGTGAAAGTAGCCTAAAATATCATACCAATGTCAAATAATTTCTGTCACAGGACACCTTATATTCTCTTTACCTTAAAAAAAATAAGTTATGCTTATTGCTCTCTTCACTATGCTATTGATGAAAATCAGAAAAAGAGGAAATAGAACTTACCAAAAGGTGAAAACTGAATAATATCATATCAGAATGTAGTAGGACAGATCATGATTAATAGGAGATATAATCAGAAATATAAAGACATAATTAATCTTTTTTTTTCATTAAGTTTGCTTTCGTGTGAGGAAAATCTATAATTATAGTTGTTATTACATGTAAACTCTATGCAGGAGAGAGTTGCAATAAAAAAAAAAACAGCAATATAAGGAACTGTTACTTGGGTGTAGGTAAGTAGTATTTGTTTCTTTTATTCATTTAGTTAATGATTTGTATAACTTCCAGTTATTTTTGTTATCCATCCCACACGAGGTGGGAAAAAAATCAATACAACTAAAGGCAGAGGAAACATGACTGATTGATTTGTTCCTCTTTTAACAAACAGTGAAAGTAGAAGAGCTATTTAGTAGATGGGCTATTGAATCAATTTATTACTAAAAACAGAATTAAATTAAACAATTGACTTATGAACCAAAGGAAGGTTGCAGTTTGGATACCAGTTGCCTTCAGTTATAGAAAATTACCTCTCACCTGATTATTGTTTTTGGCAAGAGTCAGAGTGATTTCTGTGAGCTGGAGGGCACCAGATAATTGGGTGGCCAAGAAAGGCACATTCTCAGTGTCAATGCTCAATATCAATAGCTATTCCTTTACATCGGGTCTTAGATCACATTTCCTGCTGAGGTTTCTATAGGATTCTTATCAAGGATGATTGCTCCAGATAATGTATGGCATATTTTTTATTTTGATGCAAAATTATAGGTGGTGGAATAACCTACTTTTGCATTCTTACAAAACAGAAATATAATATCAACTCAGGGTGCATTTCATTTAAGATACTTGTGCATTTTCACTATATATTAAAGACTTAGTACATTTTGTGGTTCTCTGAAATGATCTAATGATATCTGACTATAAGAAATTTACTGTATACTTCAGTTCGCATATTTACAACTATGTTCAACAGAAATGCCTACTTGCCAAAAATTTTTGGTAGTTTCTAGGTCAATTATGAATTTATCAAATTATATGTTGATTTTTGAGCATAATGATAATTTCTCAGTTTTATGACCATACTATGTTTACCTGGGGATCTGAAGTAATGTATTAGGTTAATGTTATCTTATGTTTGAAATGACACTATGGTTAAAATAGATATTTTTTGGTTTTACATATATACTAAGCTACTAGTCAAAGAACAATATTTGTTCAATTTAATTAAATTTATGTATAACAAGTATACAATGATATACTCAAGAAATTGTTATATTTATTAAAAAGTGGCTTGGATACTCTGTCCAACAAGGTTTTTAAGTCTCTCTTCAAAAAAACAAACAAAAAAACATAGGCAATTTAATATCTCAAAAATAATACAATGCAGAAGATACATTAGTGTTGACAGATGTAACTAACCACTCAGAAGTTGTCAAATTTAAAAGATGCTATTTGAGCACACCATTCTTTCTTAACTGTCAGCCTTTTAAACTGTCTGTAAGGAAAGCATTCTTTACCGACATGGATAGTTTAGAGAGCTTCATTTCCACCATTGTGGAGTTATCTGAGAAACATGTGTTAGAAACAAAAGCTCATGTATACTCTGGTCTTTCAGTTCACAACTCAAAATGAAGTGAAAATGTGGCTTAGATCAGTTAATGTATTAGATTACGATTCCTAAGAAGGGTGTGGTGAGAAAAACAGAAGGTGAAAAAACATTTCCTTATGAAATCTAAGCATTACTAACACAGGTGTAAAGTGTGACATGGATGTGAGCAAGATCAAACAAACCTAAAACCAAGACATTATGTTGTTAACACCTTAAGTAAATTCCACTCACAGAATAGCAGAGTAATTAGAAACGGAGGAAAAGAGAGAAAGAGAGGTTTGTTCTCTCTCTCTCTCTCTCTCTCTCTCTCTCTCTCTCTCTCTCTCTCTCTCTCTCTCTCTCTCTTTCTCACACACACACACACAGAGATAATATCTATTTCATGAGAATGGAAGGGTATGAGAATAATTTTACATTTATTGAGCACATCTGTGTATATGAATGAACACAGGGTGGGGCAACAGTATGTGTATAGTTATTTGTATGAAAAATAATACAATAATAAATAATCCTATATAATAAAGGCTAATATGCAAATAGACCGAACTGCGGAACAACTGGAACAACCAAACACCCAGTTGCTATGATATGTGCTGATAACCTGGGAGTGTGTGCGGAACATGACAGGCGCTGGCCAAGGTGGAATGGTGGAGCAGGTGAGTGGGGGTGCCAGACCAAGGCAGGGTGCCAATGGCTGTCATTGAGCCGAGCCTCTGATGGTTATTGAAAATTCTTTGCTCCCACATGCTGTGTGCTCACACCTACTTCCAGTGCTGGAGCTGCCGCTCACACCTGCTACCACTGGTCCCAATCCCTCAGCGCCATCAGTGAGTGCAAGTGGTGGCTGATGGCCCTAATTGTCTATGTGGGCTTCTCCACATCTCCCTGCTCCTGAAGGGCTATTGGGGCAGCAGCTGCCACTCACACCTGGCACACAGGGGATCTGAGGCCATGGTGGGAGGGGCCTGGCAGGGGTGCAGAGGATGGGCCAAGACCCACCCGTATGCCTACTGCAGCCTTGCAGCCCACAGTTCTTTTCAAGGTGCACGAATTCATGCACTGAGCCCCTAGTAACAAAATAAAATCTGTGTTTTGAGTACCTACAACTATAAACTTACTTTTGCCTCATTCTGTATAATATGATGGCTTTGATACTTATGTTGTCCTTTAAAACTAACTTTTTTGAGTAGTTAATATGTGCACATAGTACAAATTTATTAAAAATATAAAAAGTATAAGGTACAAAATTCGTCTCCCGGACTTCCTAAAGGCAACCACTGTTACCAGTTGTTTTTGGTTTGTTTGTTTGTTTCTATTTCACATGTATTTCAGAATATGTAAGCACTCAATGGAATTAGTATGGCCAAGCCATTTTATATACAAAGAAACTGATGTTCAGAGAGGTTCAAATAATTGTCTCAATTATAGTTAGTTAATGTAAGAAGTACCTTGTTTGCTCTAACACGAAGTGAGAGTATATCCTAATGTCAAATTATGTTCTTTTCTTGAGACAAAGCAAATTTCTAGTTAACAGTCCAGACCCTTGGAATATATATTAGTAATAGCTTTTAGTGGTGGAATATTTATAAATTATTATCACTGCAATGCCTGGAAATATTTTAATGAGGAAACAAAATGGCTTTCAAGTTGACTATTCCTCTCAAGTCATGAAAATGTGAGATGATACTTAGTGAGGAAAATAGTTAGTTTTATTTTTTTGTTATGTTCACACATGGTGTTTATTCTGAGCAGGACAACAACTACTACTTTTAATGGAGAACTTTGTAAAAATATTATAAAATATTTAAAGGTGGATGAAAGAAGAAATATTTAAAAATATTGGGGTGATTTAATATTGACAATGGTTTCTATTAAAAGAGATTTGAAAAATTAACTTTACTAACATAATTTTTAGACAGATTGTAATATTTGGGGACAATTCAGTAGTTATGTATTGCTCAGGAGATCATCCATATTTTCTATGGTCATCAGCTTAAAAACCCATGGCATTTTGGAATGAGGTCATATTACACCTTGATAGATTTCATAAACTAAAATTTTTAAGCTGTCATCTGGTTTTAAAGTTTATTACTAGTTGAAATTGCTTAATAGAGGGAATAAAAGAATCTGCTGCCAAGCCTTTCTAGCCACTTTGTAGGTGGTTTGTGCCAAACATGACATTTTATTTCTCAGTCTTAGGAAAAGAGCAGCCCAGAACCACCTTGACAATTTCTCTTAGGTGCTGAAATGAGAGGAATATACTCAAAGTCTTTTGGGTTGATAGATTTCCCCAACAGTCATTCACTAATATGTAATGTGCAGACTTTGTATTTCAGAGACAGTTACCCTTGCATGTAAAAGTTTGGGAAGTGTGGTAGAAAATATTTATGTGTAAAAAGATTCCATTAAGTTAGTAAGCATTCTTTTTCAAGCAGCATAATGGAAAAATGCCAGAAACATCTAACAAGGGGAATTAAATGTACTGTGAAAAGAAGAATTTATAGCATAGTTATAAAAGGAGCAAATAACCTCAATAAAGGAAGTCACGGCTCTTGAATTAAAATGGTGTTGCAGATATTTTGAGAGACTTTACCGGGTCTAATCTGGCCTGCATTCTGTATCTTTCTATCCAGTTGGTTCAGAAATTAATTTATATTGGCTTGAAGAAACTTCCCTGTGAATAAGCACTAAATATATCTGAAAGTTACTCAATGAGTTCATCATCTTAGGTAGGTGAGTTGTGGACTTCCATTTAAAAGTTGCTTTTCTGAAATGCCTATTGTAATTTTTAGCCATACATTGTCTCCTTTTCCTTTTCATCAACCTATACAGTTTTTTCCCCCCAAAGAATTTCTAGTAGAAAACGCAAACTGTGGAGTTAATATCCTTTGTGGACTTTGTGTGGTTGCATACCAAATGAACTATGTAATACTTACTTGTCATCATCCTTTCTCAATGGAATATTAAAATAAATAATCAAGCAAATCCCTACTGAGAAACATACCACACATTAAAGCTGCTTGAGGCACAATTTTACATACTGCTTTTTGAGGAAAATCTTTTTTTCTAGTATGCCGTTTAAATAAGTATAAGCTGCAAGTTTGAACAAGGGTGGATTCTTTCCCTTTGTTTAAGACACTTCTCCGATTTCTGTGTGTGCACTTAAGGAAGTCATCCACTAGGCTATCTGTGAATAGGAAAATTATAAGTGTGCTACATTTGCTGCACTTCTTCAGGTCTTAAACTTTTGTTAAAATGCTCCATAAATGGATCAAATGGACTGAAATTGTCTACATTTGAAAAGCAATAAAGCAGATAATTCGTGCAGTAGTGGTTTTATTCTTAAAAGGAAAGGGATCAGTGAAATGTAGTTATGAAGTAAACACTAGAGAATACTGGAATACTGGAAAAATATATCTTTATCATTAATACTGTAGTTAATACGACTAGTTGTATTTTGTTGAGTAGAAAAATATTTTTAAAAAGGAAAATACTGGCAAAACTTTATGAACTTTTGACACATTAACTAATAATCCAAATACTTTAAAAATATTTTTAAAAATTTATTTCAGAGAGGAAGAGAGAGAGAAAATAGAATAATCAATGATGAGTGAGAATCATTGGTCAGCTGCCTCCTGCATGGCCCTCACTGGGGATCAAGCCCTGAAGGGGAATCACACCATGACCTCTTGGCACAGAGGTTAACACTCAACCAGTGAGCCACACTAGCCTGCCCCAAATTTACTTTATAGAAATCCAGATTTAGTATTCAAATTTCAACCGAAAATTTTATACTTGAAAAGTTTCACTATTATTTTTATTATGTTATCAAATAATTACTTTCTATATTTTATAAAAAGGAAACAAGTTACATAATTTCCACATGATTGTATAGAAACTATATTCAGGAGCAAGGTAATGACCAAGTATATTTTGTGTTTTAGGTTTTTGATATAACCAAAAGTTAAGAAGAAAAATTGTTTAATGACGTTAACTTTGTTTTATTTAACTTTAGCCCATAAGTAGTAAAAAATATGGAAAATTATTTTTCAATACAAACTAAAGTTTTCTCCTTCATCTTCCTATGTCTATTTTCCTACTTCTAGCATCTCAACATCTAGCTAAGCATTTACTTCCCATCATCAATGCTAAAGGACAAAAGGAAAGGGAAAAAACTAGAAAGGAAGGTGGACTAGATAAAAGGGTAGAAAGAGTATGTAAAATGTTTTATTTTATTTGAAAAAGAGTGGAAAATGTAAAGTAAAAAAGATGAATACAGAAGGCCTTCATCAACTCAAAGTAACACAATAACGTCTCTACGAATCGTACCTCCATTTAGACTGATTGTGCTGATTAAGTTTCCAAATGTTGAGAGTGTGACAGATCTTAGAACTATAATTAACAAGACAATTTTATTCTTTCCTTTTGATTTGTCAAAATTATTAGTTTAAACACCTCTTTCATGAAATGAAAAACAAAACCATTCTTTCAAAATAAAAACTTGAAAGTTCTAGTGGAGCTGTATATAGTGATTGATCCGGCAACCTCAAAGATACCATTAAACCATTTAGAAGAATCATAATCTACATAGTAGAATCACCAAAAGAGCACTTGTATTTCCTCAATTTTCAAAATATTTGAAACTATCTCAGCTTATATACTACTAAATTGATTTATGTTCAATAATCTTGGCATATAATAAATAGCATGAAATCTAGTTATTATCTATAGAAAATTCACTCTTTAATTGATTGTTGACTACGCACCTATTAAGAGAGATGCTGTTTGCAGCTTAGGGTCATATGGACTCTTCCCACGGCCATTTTCAAAGTGTGAATCTTCCAGCTTAAAAATGTTGTCCTATAGATAAGAAAAAGAAGGATAGAATTTATTTATTTATTTCATCATGCCAGTTAATCAGAGATAGATCGAATATTCATGTTCATCATCAATGGGGTATTATTATTTATGTAAACAGTAATGGTGTCAAAATACCTGAATGATTTAAAAATCTAGCTATTACTAGCCAAAAATCTACTTAATTCAGTGATTTTTTGGGTAGCATTTAGCATGTTTCAAGGAATAATGTATGAATGAAATCTAAAGACAAGACATGTCATGATAAGAGTAGAGGGATCCTGTTATCACACAGGTTTGCCAAGAGCTAGCCTAATGGCTCTAGAAGCAAAGTATTTTAAATGACTCTTTTTATTCCTTCACAAAGAGAAAAAAAATCAATGAATTATATTAGATGCCTAGAATAAAACACACTATCTTATTTTTCTTTATGTTCCAGAAATGCTAAGTAGCCATAGCAGTCACTTCTCCTACTCTTGTCATTCCTACAACTTTGGGGCTTACGTGCTTTTGAAGCATTTTTTAAATTACATCAGAACTGAAACGACCCTTATCCCTTTCTCTAAGTGAGAAATGTAAAACTGTATGTTTTGGGAGGTGTGCCTGAAGGTAGTACCATTAGAACAACAAACTCACAGGGGACACATTTTTATCACTGGGAAGTTTGCTCAGTTGACTCAAGAATCCAGAGCCTGGAATGAATATTTGACTAGTACAGAAATATGCACAAGTTCCCAGGGAGAAAGTATTCCAGAAAGAACTGCAACAAAGTCCTCAACAAGGAGGCGACTAACTCATGCCTGAGACCCTGCCCTCAGAATGTGTCATTTGTAGAGCTACTGCAACTTCTGTGTGATAGCAGACTGGGGGAGTGAAAGGTGGGGCTGGAGGGGTAGGGAGGAATGCATTTCTGAGCACTCTTTTCAGAACCAGGTGCACGAGGGGATAAAGTAGGTCAGAATATGCATGCTTTTTTCCAGAAACGCATTAACTTGTCCACAGGCTGAAATAAAATAGCTTCTTTGGCAATTTCTCTAGTAGTCACATAAAAGTACTTTCTATCTCCTTAGAAAGTAAATGGTGTTCATTTATGGGACACTTTAAAATTTAATATTTCTGATGGAGCTAATGGCAGAGTTTCAAATTATGACGCTTAAAATTAATTTGGGTTAGGGAGGAAGAGTGAAATAAAAAGGAAACAAAATGTGTTCCTCGTTTTTATTACCGGGAGTGGGAATTACTGATTCCATGTACTTGGTACTTAGTTATCCTTTGGCAAGGACGGTTCTTTAGCTGGATTCTAAAATTTACACTGTGTGGTAAATTATGAGGTTTTTCAGGATTGTGCTCAGTTGTAGTGCAAGGACAGTATTAAAAGGCAGATCCAGCTAGGCCAATGATTGGTTCGCTACTTAATATCTCTGAGGTGCAGGTTCCCAACAATCAGTATGGACAACTGACTTGTTTATTGAGAAAATTTAAAAGAATTAAGTAAAGCCTTTATAAAGCATCAAGCAAAATAAAAATAAAATATAATTTATTTGTATTCTATTAGTACTCATATATCACTGCAACCAAAGAATATGAAAATTAAACAAACATTATCATTACTGTAAATTTTCCTAGTATAATTTGAAAGAACTATTACCTAAAGACAGTTATATTAGTCATGAAATTACAAACTTGTTTACAATATAAATTTATTACAGGTAGTTGAATATTAAGATTATAATATTAAACTTATTGGAAAATGCTAAGAATAAGCTTAGATGAACCTCTTCAGAAATATTTGGATGTATTTTGATAAAAATTAGGAACTAATCCAAAATAAATAAGCCTAGTGAAAGATATATACTCTGCTGCCACAAATCATAAAAATATTATTAAAGTTTGTATAAATGTTTTCTTATCTCAGGTTAGAGATAGCAGCAAGGAGAATTGGTGGTGTGGTTGAAAACATTGTCATAAATGTTATAAATTTATTGTCCTCTTTAGACATTTTCTAATTCTGACAAAGATGGAGGGGCTATCTCTCAAAGTATGAGACATATGATATCTGGGATCTTGTGTCCAAGTCAATAGACAATGGGAAGGTAGACAAGAAGTACTTCCAACCTGGTGTTTAATATTTGATTTACAAAGTAAAGGATTAGAGTTCATAGGAAGAGAGGTTAAGCCTGTCAGTTATGGTTCAAGAGAAGATGAAAATCTATCCTCTGTCATGGTATCAGGCCATATGTTCAAACAGGCCTCCTTCTCCTGTTCTCCCCACCCCCAACCCCCTTTTAAATGTAATTCTTACCCAAATTTCTGGGTATCTACCATGTAGTTATTATATATTCTTATATGATTCTATGAAGGGTAACACATTGAATTTTCTTTCCAGCCTAGTTAGTTGGGAGCCTAGAAAAAACAAATTTGGTTTTGAATAGGGAAGTAAAAGAAATTTCCCGCATATAAGTGTTCGTAGTGTAAAATGTATACCCTTTACACACAGCAATAGGGTTCAAGGGTGTTGAAATCAGGCAGAGCTGGTATTTTCCTTGGCTCTGCCTTTTATTAGCTCTGGGCCTCAGGCAATCCCTATACATTTTTGAGCTCAGATTCCTCATCTGTAAATAGAGAATAGGAAAAACTCATAAGGTTTATGTGAAGATTCATTGTAATAAATTACATAAAGTAATACTTAGTGTGCCCTTGAAAATATTCATTAATTTCCCTTTTCTACAGTTTTGTTTGTAGTTGGCACAATAAAATCATGCTTTCTTATACTGATTGATATCTTGTGCCACAGTGGAAATCCCTGCCTATTTTTTCATCATCGTAAATTAGGACATGCATTTAAAATATATGTGAATATTTTGAACACAGAAAATGCACTGAAAATTGTCCCTATATTTAAACAGAAGTCTAGTTTAAAAGCTTTGTTAAAAATCTTAGCAAATATAACATATATAAAAATTCTCAATTAATAAGACTACCTTTTTAATATGTCTGATAAATTTAATGGGATTGATATTAAGAGACATAAATATTGCTCTTTCTGTTATCTTGTAAGACCTATTAGATATATGAAGATATTAATTTATTATAAATGAACTCTGTTTTTATATAATTGATTATTAGCATCCTATGCTGTCATATATAACGTGTCACATAGAAAACTTTCCAGTTGTACTTGTTAGGCCTTTTGAAATCTTATTGCTACTCAAGGATTTTCTGTTAAAGAGTATTAAATAGATCACATATGCAAATAACGAGACAAAAATATCCCAAGAACAATGTATACAAACTGCATAGTTTATGTCTTGTTTGAGCTGAAATGGTTTCCATTTTTAGTAATACATGAACAAAAATCTAGCTGCATAGATTCTAATTGCTTTAGCAGATACTATGAGCATATCATATAATTATTGTGCCATATTTTAATATATATATATGATTGCATCAATTTTCGGCAACTATTTTTAACTTTTGAGACCACTCTTTCCCCTTTGTCTTGTGGATTTCCTGAATGTTATTAGACTGAGGTGAGGTAAGGCATTAGAGGAAATAATAACTGTGCTAATGTCTAATCCAAAGTCTTATAAATTATAAACCATGGATGACATCATGACAATATATTTCCTAAATCCCAATCTTGTCCAAGTAATAAAGTTAGGTAACAAAATTATAATTTTAATTGTTTTATATAACAATTAAGACATAAGTCATGTTTCTAAAAGTGACAAGAGTAAGAAAATCCTACATCTATATTATAGAATGAACATTTGGGTGACAAACTATAAAAAAATTATGTAAAGTTCAATACTTAGTATTTAAAGTATATATATTTTTTTTCACACACACAAAAAAGTCTTGATTTCCAGCTATACTAAATTATCAATATTCCCTGGTCATATCATGCATTTTCTTATCTTTGCTAGAAACCTCTTCCTCTCCCTTGCAACGCCCCCTCCTGCTCAGCTGTCAACCCCAAGGTGAACTTGCTTTCCTTTAAGGTTAAGTTAAAGCTGCTTCCTAGGAGGAGTCTTCTGAAATTTCTGTAGATATAAGTTATTAGCTTCTTTTGTGCATATCCTAATTACAATAGTACACAGATAATGACTATACTGGATAAAAGTGTTCTTTGCCTAAGAGAGATCCTTTTGTGGATCCAATTCATCTGAAAGTTATAGTTCCTAAAAAGGTGACTCGATGATGATCTATGATATGCAATACTGTAGCCATGAGCCACATGCGGCAACTTAATTTACTTGGTTAAAATTAAAATTCACATTCCTCAGTTACCCTAGCTACATTCCAAGTGCTCCATGGTCACAGAGGCTTGTCAATACCAGTACAATATTTCAGAGACACAAAGATTTCCACTGTCATGGAAGTCCTATTGGACAATATGGCTCTAATCCTGAATCTTATTATCTTAGCAGGAGAAAGTAGAATTAGAAATCTATGTGCTTCCAAGGAGAGAAAACTTATCATCAGATCATAATCATAGTAGAAAACGTCCATGAATTATATTAAGAACACTAGTTTAGATTTTTTATTAACCAGGGTTTATGCTAAGCAACATTTAATGATAGTGCAGATGAACAAATACATTTTCTGTATTTTCTTGTATATTATTCTTTTTTAATTTGAATGACTTTACCCTAATTATGTAAATACAAATTTTACCCATACTTTCAAGGTTAGGTCATGACACTCAGTCCACTAGACGTTCATTGATTTTTCCTAGCAGAAAAAATGTTCGTAGAACTTGCAAAGCAACATCTTCATACTTCTTTCTAACATTTGTTACCTTCATCCTTGATATTCAATATTGGAGGTGTACTGATTTTGCTATTAAATTGTTTGGGGGCAAGAGATAAATATAATTCAATATATTTCTATCTATAGTAAGATATAGCTTGGCATGAGCTAAATCACAATAAAAGATCCAATGACAAATCAGTGAATAAATGAGTGATTGTATGATTAAGCATAAGAGGCTCATAAAAAAT